GTCAGATTCATACTTGCTGTTCGACCCAACTAGTGGGAAATATTCAGTTTGCAAGGCACCCAATTTGACAACCTCCAGTCATTTGTGAATATGCGCCAGACAGAGCTATGAATAGATCGTTACGTTTGGCTAAATTGTCCATACCACTGAAAAAACATTAATAATGCCTGGAATGTAAACCACCAAGGTCAATTTTTCCACTAGAATTGATCTTTTATGTTACATTTGCCTGCTTCATGTCACTGCAGTTGATACTGCTTCACCAGTTGCGTTTCTAATTTGCGCATCAGCATAAACCACATTGAATAGCATGTCTCACTATATGCTTCAAACTTAGTTTAACACATTATTGATTGACGTTTCAGATTATCGTTGCTTATATGCCTTTATTTATTCATATGTTCCGGGGTAAGAAATTAAATGTTCTATAAATGTACAGTGCGTGACCTATCTCATGAAATGTTGGCCGAAATTCTGAAATGCGTTTTTGATTAGGAAGGATTACTTGGTCGCGGTTGTGAGATTGATTACCTTAAGGCATACTCTTATAACATTTTATACTCGGCAGGATGTCGGCTTATAAATGCACTTTTTTTCAATCTTCTGTAGAAAGCGTGCTCGGTAAAAAATGACTACTTAAGTAGCATGCATTTTCCCATTGATTTTCGATGGTCTTGGATATTCAAATATATTTTATAGAAACCACAAACAAAAATATGCTTCCTTTTAATCGATCAATAGACAATCACGTCATCTTTATATTTTAAATTTAAGAAAGGATTATTACTAGGTTTAAAAAAAGTTTTCTAATTGCCGAAAAATTTGAAGCCTGATCATTCGTTGCATCAGCACTTAGTGATTACACTCTACAAGGTGCGTGCGTTTCGCGTAAAGAAAATCCCATATTTTTCTATGTCATTTAATAGATATCATACAGGGTCCATAAAATTTTGCAATGGATGCGGACCATGCTGTACATTTCATGAGGAGCAGTGGTAAACGGCCAGGTACGATGCTATGTGAATGGACTTATCGCGATCTTAAAAAGTCTCATAATTAGAAACTTTTTTAAAACCTAATTATACTCCTTCCTTAAAAATAAATTATAAAGAAGACGTGATTCTCTATTGATTGACAAAAACAAAGCATATTTTTGTTTGTGGTTTCTATAAAATATCTTCGAATTTGTAAGACCATCGAAAATCAATGGGAAAAATGCATGCTACTTAAGTAGTCATTTTTTACCAAGCGCGCTTTCTACAGGAGATTGAAAAAGAATACATTTAAAAGCCGACATTGTCCGAAGTCCAAAATGTTATAAGAATATGCCTTACTTTGAAGCATTTTTTCCCGGATATGAATTGAAAACAAGCATGTACAGCAGAATTTATTGGGGCCAATAAATTTTGTGACGGCTTTTCAAATGCAGCCCGTCTCTGCATAACATTGGTAACAAATGAAAGCGCACAGCAGTATGAATTTGTACAGAATGGCAGTGCATAAGAACAAGGTCAAAGTTCAAAGCAATCAGTTATCAGCTAAGACGTCCACATAAGGATCAAAAAGGAAAAAGGGAGACGAAATGTTCACAACAAATCACAGTCAGGGGAAAATAGAGGCGTGAGATTACCAGGGCAATCGCAGATTGATAACGTGATCTAACTGCTTGCACAGGTCTGGTTTCTCCCTCCTTATGTAGGCTGCTTCCAAATAACGCAAGGTTCGAGTGCTCGGACAAGTACTTGAGAGGATGCTTTAGGGTCGACAACATGACCGCTATCTAACAGGTGTTTCGTTATAGACGAACGGGGGGTTCTGTTTTCCTGCAGTTGAAAAGCCGTCACGAAATTTATTGGCCCCAATAGATTCTGCTGTACATGCTTGTTTTCAATATGCCTTAAGATAATCAGCATCACAACCGCGACCAAGTAATCCTTCCTAATCTCAAACGCATTTTAGAATTTCAGCCAACATTTCTTGAGATAGGTCACTCACTTTAAGTTACACATTCAATGTGCCATCCAAACCTTTAAAATTTTGCCTTTTAATGTTGCTTTCAATACATTTGTTGTGCTTTAAGTAAAACGGATATATTTTTATCATTAAGTCAGAGCGCTCACTGACACATATGGGATGGACTATGACTGATCAAAAACTTTCTCGAACTCAACATAATATGTTCAGTGTCATTCCTCTACCGTGAACAATTTCCATTTGACCTGTTGATTTCCGTCGACCAGCTTTCTTGTCGCACGCATGGCCGATTCTATATAAGTGCAAAGCGGCCAGCACCTTCATCTTCAAATTGGTGATGCCAAATCCATAAGGAGCACCAAATCTAGGCAACTGCTTGAATATCTCGTAAAAGTGTTACTCAGTTACGCTGTTTTTAATAGCATTTTCCAAAGTGGATCTTCTTCACATATAGGTGTATCACAGTTCAAGAAAAGACAGGCTCTATGTGAAAGACCTTCACTCGGTTAGGTTTTCTTAGTCCTTTGAGGACCACCTAAGAAAGTACTTTTTTGGTTATCAAATCACTACAAAATGAGAAATTGATTCTAAATATACTAAACGGCGGGTGAGAAACATAATGAGAACGTACGCATAATTTTTGGACATCCGCGCAGAATGTATATTGCGAGAAAGATATACAGGGTGCGGAACATTCTCGGTTTGTAGAACACTATTGGCGGAGGAAGCTGCTAGGAAAGATATTAGATGACTTCTCTTGGAGCTATATCTATGCGTCGATGTCGTCAGAAAACCCAATTAACACGCATTTAAACCTGCCACGATTGGTCCACCTGTTACTGCCTGGGTGCTCTCCACTTCCCCGATCGTGGTATCGCACGTGACACTCAACAATAGGTATGTATTCCATGGAGTTGTATATGACGCTCACACCAAAAGCCGCCCCATTTTAACACTAACTCTGCAAACCAGATCAACCCAATGGCCTAGAGAATTAAAAGGTGATCCCGAAATTCGCATGCTCTGCCTTCACATAATACGCTTAGTGTACAGTAAGTGTTAATAGACGTCAAGTGCAAAAGAACGCTGAAGCAGTGTTATATTATGCCTACAAAAGCGGCAAAATACAAAGATTGAGGCATATTTAGAATTGGCTGTTGGAACAGTCTCTTGCGAATCCTTCAAACTGACGAAGAGATGGACCACATGTCGAAATCCTATAAAGTTTCTAAAGAAATATCAAAATTAATTAAAATCGCTTTGTCTAAATATTCCATACGAGAAGAAAACTATAATGTGAAATTAGGTTTGGTCGAATGCAATAATTAATAGATTAAGACACGTAAAAAATCCCAATAAAAATTAACGAAATCAGTCACATATAAGCAGGGCAAACTGTTTGCATCCAACTAGATAAAGTTGACTTCTAATAGGCAAGTATGGCAATATGCGCTATGACACAAACGCGAGCAATAAGGCCATTCGCTAACACAGGTAACAACGACACCAAGGACGGCAGAATCCAAAGATTAATTCGAAAATTGCAAACGACAATATGCGATTGGGAATTCCTATAGTAACGAATGCAAATAAACGAAATCACGTAGAGAAAAAAACATAAGGATGAAATGTTAAAATAACAAAACATGAAATTCGAAAAGGACCGAAAAGAGTAACGTAGAAAAAAGACTTGAAGAAGAAGACACGATCGTTGGGACAAGAGCTTTATTAGCCGGACGTTTCAATTTCCTGCTCGAATCCATTATCACAGACAACAGCAGATACAGGTGATTCACGTACAAGGGGGTGCAGTATTTATAGGATGCAGTCACCATACTACCACATACCTACGAACATGCACGGCTCCCCCCTGCATCCGGGATCGTTTCACTTGGTCTGCTAATTGTTTGATGGCCGATATTCACGTCACTGATAGAAGCAAACAGGCGAGTCCCAGGTAGCAGTTCAGAAGATGAATATGCGATCACTGGGACAAGACGTTTATTTGCCTGACGTTTCGGATTCTCACTCGACGGTGGGAAACCTTTGCCCTTCGAGAGTCGTCAACATATGCGCAGATTCGATTTCTGCACAGGTGTCTCGACAACAATGTGCTGGCGAAGTGCGTTTCATACAAACCTCCGGTCAACACAGAGCTGGCGAGACGCGCAGTACTTCAGCACGGCCGACGAACGATCCGAGTGCTCCTTCAAGACTGTCACTCATGGATTCGCAAATACCGTCAGAGGATTGACCAAGAGAAAGCAAGGTGCTGCGAGTTCATGAGCGGAGACGGCACAAAACTGCTTCAGCAGAGGCTGGCCGAACGAACCCGCGAACATAAAGCAACGCGAGAAGCAGCCCTAGAGAGCAAATTTCGAAAGCTGCCCTCTCCAATGTCATCCAAGAACGACAAACTTGTGCACAACTTGTCGTCAAAGGAGCTGACGGAGGAACAAATGCAGGTTTTACGGCATGAGGCCTCATTCAACACAGCCGATGTCAAACCTGCCAACATGATCGCAGCAGTGGAATCAATCCTCAGCCAGACGGGGGCGACAGACGAAACGAAGAACCTCATTCGACACCAAGTGTCCTCCCTCCTCATGGCTAATAGGCCGCGCGATGTGCTTTCCAAAGTCGAGCGCGATGCACTTAAGGAACTCACGGTCGACAACGACCTCGTTATCGTGCCTGCGGACAAGGGGCGTTCAACGGTCGTATTGGACAGGACAGACTACAATCAAAAAGCCAAAAGCTTGTTGGAGGATCGTCAGTCCTCTGTCCCATGCGAATCCAACCCCATGAAAACGCTGACACGCGAGATTAACGCGACGCTGTTGGCAATGGAGAACTCAGGTGCAATATCGCCAATAGACAGACGCATGGCAAGAGCACAAGAAACGGCCCTAGCCCGATTCTACGGTCTCCCAAAAGTGTTCAAAGAGGGTGCTCCTCTCCGGCCTATCGTATCACTAAAGGGCACTTGAACCTACGGACTGGAAAAGTGGCTGTTCCAACGTCTCATGTTTCTGACCTCCGATTCGAATACCACAGTCAGCTCGTCAACGCAATCCCTGGAGAAACTTAAAGGAGTAAGTCTCCTGCCAAGCGATATCATGGTTTCCTTTGATGTCACGTCCCTTTTTACTTCTATCCCGCAGGACCTGGCAGTCGAGACAATCGAACTACTCCTACGAGAGAAGTACGACGAAACGGAGAATCGCCTCGGACACGCCCAAATCATCCAGCTCCTGAAGTTCTGTCTCAAGACGTACTTTACATTCGACGGAACAATCTACGAGCAGGTGAAGTGAACGCCAATGGGTTCACCGATTTCGGGACTCATAGCCGAGGCGGTCCTACAACGGCTGGAGTCACTGGTTTTCCGACACCACAGACCGAAATTCTGGGCTCGGTATGTGGATGACACCTTCGTCGTCATCGAACGGGATCAGGTGCTGACATTCAAAGAACAGCTCAACGCCGTCTTCCCGGACATTCAATTTACGATGGAGGAGGAGGAAAACAATTAGCTGACCTTCATGGATGTCCTCGTCTGCCGCAAAGATTGTAGTGGCCTAAAAAGCAAAGTGTTCAGGAAAGCGACAAATACGACACAAATACTGAACTTCAATAGCAACTACCGGATCAGTCACAAACGCAGTTGCGTAAGGGCGCTATACCGGCGTGTTAAGACGCACTGCAGTGAAATGGAAGACAAGGTTGCTGAATTGCAATATCTTCGACGGGTAATGAGAGCCAATGGCTACCCGCGCAACTTTGTCAACCAGTGCATACGAAAAGGACACCAGAGACCAAATCCAAGTAGCCCCAAATTTTGGCGGGCTCTTCCGTGCGTGAAGAACGTCTCGGAAGCCGTCAGTCGTCTTCTCACTCCACTTGGAGTTGGGGTTGCACACAGGCCGGAAGCAACCATTAGGCGCCAAGTAATAAGGCCAAAAGACCCGCTGCCACGGCAGGAAACGTCTGGAGTCGTTTACCGGATCTGGTGTAGTTGCGGACAAAGCAATTATGTCGGAGAAACTGGGAGATTACTCTGTACGCGACGTATGTGGACGATATCTTCGTCGTCACTGAACGAGATCAGGTGCTGATATTTAAAGAACACTACAAAGCCGTCTTCTCGGACATTCGATTTACGATGAAGGAGGAAGAGAACAACCAGCTAGCTTCCTGGATCTCCTCGTATGCCGCAAAGATTGTGGTGAACTAAAAACTAAAGTGTTCAGGAAAGCGACAAATACGATGCAAGTACTGCATTTAAACAGTAACCACCCAATAAGCCACAAACGCAGTTGTGTAAGGACGCTCTATCGGCGTTTCGAAACGCACTGCAGTGAGCCGGAGGACAAGATTGCCGAACTACAATACCACCGACGGATATTTAAAACCAATATCTACCCACGTTACTTTGTCAACTGGTGCATACGCAAAAAAGCCGAAAGGCTTAACCGCAAGGACACCTAATTTTGGCGGGCGCTTCCGTATGTCAAGAACGTTTCGGAAGCTGTCGGCCGCCTTCTCGAACTACTTGGGTTTGGAGTTGCACACAGACCGGAGGCAACCATCAGACGTCTGATAATGAAACCGAAGGACCCGCTGTCACGTCTATAAACGTCTGGAGTCGTTTATTGGATGCGTTGCAGTATCGGACAAAGCAACTACGTCGGTGAAAATGGAAGACAGCTCCGAACGAGAATAGCCGAACTCGTTGCTGCGGTGCGAGAAAAGACGCCAGCTCTCAAATTGCCTCTCATTCGACGAGATATGGCCACACATTCAATTTCGACATGGCCGAAATTCTCGCGATAGACGACAACCGCGTGAGTCGGGAGCTACTCGAATCACGGCTTCCTTCCCCCCAGTCAAGTAACAAGTACACTTAACTTCCCATTCCATACTCTGCGCTGAGACTTCACCTAGGCGGAGTAATTAGCCACCCCGGGAGCACACATGCGAACGTTTGTCCCAACACCAGGATCGGTGCGTCAGATGGTCGAGCCATCATCACACCAACATCCAACGCACGTGATGAAATTGCGGCAATTAACGACGTGAATATCGACCATCAAACAATTAGTAGACCAAGTGAAACGATCCCGGATGCAGGGGGGAGCCGTGCATGTTCGTAGGTATGCGGTAGTATGGCGACTGCATCCTATAAATACTGCAGCCCCTTTTACGTGAATCACCTGTATCTGCTGTTGTCTGTGATAATGGATTCGAGCAGGAATCTGAAACGTCCGGCTAATAAAGCCCTTGTCCCAACGATCGTGTCCTTTTTGTTTTTCTTCTTCTTCTTCTTCTTCTTCTTCTTCTTCTTCTCCTTCGTCTCCTTTTTCTACATTCCTGAACGTTTCTAAAGCATTCGGGCCAGTCCTTGGTACCTTCGGTCCTTAATCCTACCCTTTAATTTGATTTGGCTTAATGGTTACATTTGTTGGATGTAAATGTTTCGTTTTTCATAGATTTTCTGCGTTCACAGCTGACATACACATAGGTTGTATGCTTTCCATTTAAAGAAGGTTAACCGGGCTTCGAACCTTTTACTTAACAGTGTATTTCGCATTATATCATTCAGTCTTTTAGGAGAACCATGAGAATTTGATTGCAAGTGGAGCTTTTTTGTATATAAACAAACTACTTTTCGAATTTTGAAAGACGGGCTAGAAAACCTGAGTGATCCGCGTCAATCGCAAGAACGAACCCTTTAGATAATCCCTAGTTGAAAACTGCTGATATTGCCCTTCATTTTACAAATACGCAATGCCTGGCCATCGTATGATTAAAACATATTTATCATTTTCAATTTATTACACATGCATATATGTATCATACGGTATATTTTATTTTCATATCTAGAACAAAGAGTGATTGGAGAAAACATTTAGATTTTGCGCTATTTTTCAGTACATCTAAGACTATTATTCTGTGCGTAAGTAATCGTTCAACGTAGAATGGGAATAGGCAAAATCACGAAAACGTCTTTAGACGTCCTTATTACGCAAGTGACGGCCCGGTCATATATATATATATATTATGATCAGGTTACGGAACATGCTCGTTCTGTTGTGCCTTGGGGCTCATACTAGAACCCTCGCTGGCAGTCGCACAGCGACTAGTAGTAAATATAGATGAGATGGTACCGACAAAGACAAGGAAGACCGGAATGGCCACTTCTGGCTTATTAGCCGTCATCAGCCAGTCATACCTAACCACAAGTGTGGATCACTTGAGATTCGGACCCGGTATTTTTAGTCATGGAGTTTGACGCTCTACCATTGAGCCACGGGCCCGTTGTCCTGTCGGTTCTGATCGGGAATATTAATTATGATAGTGGGCGCTCACCGATCAATTGGCTTCACGAAGTAGAAAGGCTCCGTATTTGTGGCAAAAGTCCCGAACAAGCAACCAATTCCTGGGCCAAAGTCGGCCAACTCATAATAGCAGCGAGGAGAATGGCAGAAAATGCGGGTAAACTGAAAATGTATTTTTTTCTGGCTTCTCTTGCCTTCATTCAGCCAATCATAGCCCTGACCAGCCGCTGAGACCAGAAACACAAACCTGCGCATAGACGCACCCGGCGCAGTTGGTCTATCACATTTAGTCTACCAGTAAAGACAATAGCTCGGTGTTCGCCCATTACCGATTGAATAAATACCGGATCTGCTGAGATAAAGGGTGACCTGTGGCGAGGCGCTGATGAAAATTCGGTTCGTGAAAAGCAATTGAATATATTTCGATCTTCAGATTTATAAGCCGACCGCACACTTAGACAGGCATTGTGCTGATCTTCTATCAGATTCTTTAAAACGAGGCATTTGTTGAAGGTATTTAGCGAGGTAATGCATTATGAATTCAACGACTTTTTGTAGAATGGCGTATGCACCATAAGTATGAGTTTTCCAAATGGACACTAAATTCGCCGTCCAGAGGGCAAATCTGGGACCTCTAACCTTAATTAACTTGAAACTTACTAAAGCGTTTTCCGTTTAAAATGTTTACTAGAGATTCCAGTGACTGATGTCTGCGTCCCCTGGGTTTTCTTTAAAAAAAGTTATTAGCATATTTCAACGTTTCGCCAAATCGTTTGCGTCCCCTAAACTTGCTGATAAGTCCTAGACTTTAGACGGACAAAACCAGTTTCCTTACGCAATTGCAGAACCTTTATCAGTTCTCTTTGTTTTATTTTTTGAAATACAGGAAAAAGTTTTTAGCAGAGTGATATTTTGAAAACTCGGATGTCACTAAATTGATGATGCTCCGTCCGTTTCGTTTCTTGCTTGCGTATCTTCATAAACCACATTATATTCGGCGTCTTGTCATATGCAAAATATTTAGCATAACACTTGCTGATAATTGTCTTCATAGCTGCTTACGTTGTATTCGTAAATGACAGGCACACCTCTTACCGTTTAAAAAAACAATTGAATGCCCGTTTTTATAACGCTTTGCAGTGCATAAAGAACCTACGAATAAAGTTCGGACTTTTTCAAATTGATACTTTTTTTTCAAAAACATAGTCTCATAACGTTAATTTTTGCTCCTATTTAATAATTTTTGGCTTGATAATATTAAGCAAAGCATGCTATCTTTGCAAAACGTTTTTCAAACGGTGTTGGCGAATGGTTGAAAATCAGATGGTTAAAAATAAAAAAATAAATCACAACGTGGCATTAATTATCTAAGCTTCCAGGTGCATTTAGAATTGGTACATGGATATTTGCGGTATCCCTCAAACCAAAGTTTTGCATCCCATTTTTTGTCGAAATATAGGGAAGGGGTTGTCTGTTGTTTCATGCAGGATCGAATAAAATGGGAGGCTAATTATTTTGTGGTTCAGCGTTGCCCCCTGAAACGATTGCGGTTATTTTTAGTTTTTATAAATGTTTTATTTTAAGAGAATCTAAGGTTGGCTCCGAGAATGTTAAAAAAATTTATAAATTACCAGTACTGGTAGACACAACAACAGAATTGTAACTTGTACTATTTGGAAGGAAGTTTTTTGAAACTAAGCAAACGACTGAGGATTTTACGGGCGAAAAGACAAAACTGTCGGGATAAACTTTGCTTTTGACGATGAGGTTACTCAATGCAAAATCTGTGACGTTATAGTGATTTAATCACTTGATAACTTGACAATGTCAGTGGCCAACTTAGACGATTATTTATTAAGATGGAACGATTTTCTTAACCAAAAGTGACGTCACATGATTTCCTTACCCAGGCTTTCACGCAAAGCGCAGTTTAAAACCGGAGGAAAAACCGTCGAGAGCTAGTGATATTATGCTTA